ATCGAACATACACTTCTTTAGATTCGACACGTGGAAGACAGGATGGATGTTGCTGAGCTCTCGGGGTAACTGAAGTTTGTATACCACGGGACCGATCCTAGCAAGGATTTCGAACGGTCCAATATACCTTGGGTTTAGCTTTCCACGCTTCCCAAAGCGTATCATGCCTTTCCAGGGTGAGACCTTCAGAAGGACGCGGTCACCAACCTGGAACTCCAAGGGTTTTCGTCTCTTATCGGCATAACTCTTTTGTCTACTCGTGAGGCTTTCAGTCGTTCTCGGATTTGTATAATTTTCTCAGTTGTTTCTCGGATGATCTCAGGACCAGTGAGAGTACTGTCGGGGGCTTGACCCCTGGCTAGCTGCGTGTCACCCACCTCAACCCAGCACAAAGGGGATCTGCACTTTCGGCCATAGAGGGCTTCAAACGGCGCAACCTTGATGCTGGTATGGTAGCTGTTGTTGTAGGAAAATTCAACCAAAGGAAGATGAGTGTCCCATGAAGCGCCGAAATCGATGACGCAGGCTCTCAACATGTTTTCCAATGTCTGAATGGTCCTCTCACTCTGTCCATCAGTCTGCGGATGATAAGAACAACATACTATGGGTCCAATCAACCTTCCGGTTGGAATACCCCTGGCCCTCAACCATCGGGTTGGAATGCCTACATACTACGAGCCCAATCATCCTACCGGGATGCAATACTCTCGGCCCACAACCATCGGGTTGGAATGCCCATACACCTATATGTACAACAATAACTACTATGGGTCCAATCATCTCGCAAGATGGAATACCCCAGGCCCCTCAACCATCGGGTTGGAATGCCAACATACTATGAGTCCAATCATCCTACCGGGATGGAATACTTCTGGCCCACAACCATCGGGTTGGAATGCCCCACTTCCTATACATACAATAACTACTACTATGGGTCCAATCATCCCTCAGGATGGAATACCCCAGGCCCCTCAACCATCGGGTTGGAATGCCAACCTACTACGAGTCCAATCATCCTACCTGGATGGAATACTCCTGGCCCACAAACATCGGGTTGGAATGCCCCTACACTAGCAACCATGCACACATCACAGGCAACCACATAACACTCTACAGAACCAACATACTAGGGCCCTATCATCCTACCGGGGTGGAATACCTTCTGCTACTGCTCAACATACATATCCCACAGGTAACCTCCTACCAGCGTACATAAGGCAAGACCAACTACAGGTCTATAAATATAACCACTACCCAACCCAGGGTGCTGATCCAAACAAAACTTGCCATCACTTAACTACCTTATCCTCCAGGATACTAAGCTAACAGAGCATAACATCATATCATTATCCTATCTACCAGGATACTAGCAAGCATATCATCACATAAGCATAACAAGCTCTAAACAACAATTCAAAGGGCCGGCCTTGGTGCCTTAGACCCTTGAGTACAGTGAGGATAACTCACCTGAAACGAAGAACCGAACCACGAAAGCACACTCCCGAAGCACTGCTCCAAACCCCAACACCTATTGCCATCAATGGACCATTGACATAGATAACCAATTACCATAACACCCATGAAGGTAAAAGTCAAAGTCCAGGCCAAAGTCAAACTTCATGACTGACTCTACTCGCCGAGTCAACCCGTTGACTCGTCGAGTCCTTATACTCTGAAAACTCTTAGAACACGACTCAACTCGCCGAGTCACCCCAAGACTCGTCGAGTCCAACAATCTCCGAGTCCCATCCTGCTCAACTCACCGAGTCACCTCCCGACTCATTGCTTCGAGGTTTAACCAGAAGAGATTGGGGTTTTACGACCAGACTCGCCGAGTCCAAGACAATCTTCAACAGAATCGCCGAGTTGTTCTTCCAACTCGCCGAGTCCATGCACATGTTCATACAACTCGTCGAGTACACCCATGTGACTCGCCGAGTCTCTCCAGTTCTCAATCCATACAGTGGCTTTTCGAACCATGCAGGGGCTCCAATCCATAGATCCACTCTTCTACAGACTAACCCTCACATAAAGTGGCAAACTTTACGTGAAACTAAGGAGATATAGGCCCAAAACACTCTAGGGCTAGGGTTAAGGACTAGGGGGCTTCACCAACAACTCTTAGACATGAGCTTTATGACCTTTTGGACCATCACAAGCCTAGATCTGAGGTAGCAACCTCAGATCTAAGCCTCTAACTCGAAATAGCTCTCAATCATACCAAAAATGCCCCAAATCTCAAATGATAAAAGATCTAGATGCAAAAGAGCCCAAGCAACAGATTATTACCTCCAATATAAGCTCCAACTGAAGTAGATCCCGGATCTACACCACTCCTTTGCAGCAAGCCTCTTGATCTTCAAGCCCCTTTCCAAGATTTCCTCATCCAAAGCTCTATTCTCTCTATTAATGGAGGCTCACTCGATTTTAGGGTTTCTGGATCTCAAAAGGGTAGTAAAGAGGCTAAGGGTGGGTTATAATGTTCTTTATATAGGGCACAACCCCCGGGATTAGGGTTTTCTCTCTACAGCACCAACTCGTCGAGTCCAAGCCGCCGACTCGGCGAGTTGGCCACTAAAACCGCGACAGAATCCCGCTCCGACTCGGCGAGTAAGCAGACCTACTCGTCGAGTCTCTTCTTTTATTTACACTTTTGGCCCTTCATTGAACTTCTGAAATTTCGGGATGTTACAGTTGAAGTTGGGTATGAATAGGATGTGGAGTGTAGTATGCATATTGATAATGGTAACTAGGAGGTGAATATATGGTAATGGTAACTAGGAGGTGAATATATAAGACGATCACTTTGATTTTGAAGAATGTAGGTGAAGAAGGGTTTGAAGTGGTTGTGTTTTGTGTATTTTTTTGGCTTCTTGTTGGAGTTTTTAGGTTGGATGGAGAAGCCATGTTGTCACAAAATATGGAGTGTTTGAGTGAAAAGTTGAAGGTTGTTGTGCGTTATAAAATAAGGTGGTTGTTGACTTGTTGGTATTTATAAAGGTTGTAAGAAGGTGAAAAGTTTGAATTTTATAAAAAAAAAACAGGTATAAATTTGAATTTTGAAAAAAAAAATCTCTCTCATCAGTAGAAAACTGTCAGAGTTAGGCCATTGAACTCAACATGTCGAGTTGATGGCGCAGTGTTTGCCGAGTCCAGCTCGGATGTGCCGAGGTGATATCGAGTCGACTCCCGACAACCTTATTGCGTGAATTAGTAGTTATAGTGTTACGGTACACCAGGGAGGGATGCCTCCGCTATCCATCAATATTTTAATGTGAACTTTTTTTGATTTTTTTATTTATAGGTGCAACTTTTTGAAAAACATTATAAAAGCCTTAGGACATAAGTCCAAACTTCAAAGTCCAAACGATTTACTCCAAAGTCTAATTAAGGTTAGAAAATTAAATTAAACAAAGTTAGCTCATTAAGCATTAGTTCATCTCTAATCTATTGGCAAGTGGTTATTGGTTTTGGTATCTTTGTCCATCTTATTCTCGTTTGGACATATCACAACTTCAAAACTATCATATAATTCAAAAAGCTGACTTCAAAATACATTTTTACATAACACTTTCTCCTAATAAAATTCAATTTCAGGTCTGCGAGGCAACACCCTCAACACCCCTGCCAGTAGGGATGTTCAAAATTATTCGCATCCAAAAATCCGAAATGAAATTATCCGAAAAATAATATTTTTAAAATTTTAAAATTTTATATATTGTTCCCGTCTCTATAATATACATGTATACACCACTATAATTTATAGTAGAGATCAATTTAATTGTTTATAAACCTTCTCTAACTAGATTTTATATGGACATAGTAACACAAGCTCCATTTATGCGATTTATGTACCCAAGTTCTCTGTTCTTGTGTAAATCATTTAGAACCAAAAGTCCGATATAATTATTTACTTGTAATGGTTACTTGAAAAGTACTAAACTTTACTAAGAATAAAATTAACAATGATACCTTCAAAAAAATCTTTTATTATTTTTTGGTTATTTGACATTAACAAGCTAATTTCTGTTTATAAATTTTTTGATTTAGATATTGTTAGATATAAGAATATTTTTACTAAGCAGACACAAAATACCCATTTTATAATAAAGAGGAAGAATGCTACGTAAATCGTTTAAGATAATCGCTATTTATTTGGTATTCAAAACTTTAAAGTGTTTATGTTTATCAGTATTGTAGTATATTTTGTACTAATTATGTTTTAAATTTATTTGGTTAATAATGAAAAAATATGAAATTTTCTGATATTCGAGTTGCAATCCGAATCCATATTTGAAATTTCGGAAACGGATATTGTACCCTATTATCCGGAACTTCGATATGCGTATTTTAACACTGCTACCTGCCTAGGACGTTGACCCTTACACCCACCATTTTGGTCAAACTTAGAAAGAATTTTTTCGACACCCTAATTTTTTTTTCCAGGTTCCGGATCCGTTATAATGGCTTGTTTTTTGTGTTTGTAGTATTTTTTTTTTCAAATAACTCGTGTTTCTCAACAAATAAAAAAATAACGTCATGCATTTGTCAATCTTGTGAGTTCCATGGTTTTTTCTTGAATTAGAAACAACCATGTTTTTGCGTACTTTTCATTCTTAAACAAACCTAAATACGTTTTCATTTTACAACATGATTTCCATACCAATGCGCCTATTCGAAAAAGGACAAGTAGACATCAAAGTCTACACTCCCTATCATTTCCTTTTTCAACTAAATCCCACCCCCCACCATGGCACCACCCACCTTTGCTTTTGGCTGTATCCCAACACACTTGGCCCTCAATGCAATTTTATATTTACCATCAACAATACCAATGGTGACAAAATAAATAAATAAAATAAAATACATTTTACATACGTGTTAATGCAGATCACCGGCCGGAGGACATGAACGATTCAGTGATAGGCGCCGACGCCGTTGAGTATTGTATTTGTGAAAAGTAAGCACTCGAAGAGGCTTCACCAAGTCTACCTGAGTAGTCATCTCTTATCTCCAACACAGTATCGAAATCCGCCGGCAATGGCTCTTTTCCGGTAAGAAATTTCAAAACTTGCGACATGCTCGGCCTCACCCGCCGGAACGGAGTGCGAACAAAGCAACCCCACCTTCAAAACCAAATCCATTTCCTCAACATCCAAATCGTCCTTCAGTTTCGGGTCAACCGCTTGCGAGAGTGTCTCCTTAAACCAACAATCCAACACGTAATCGACCAAAATCACCGCCTCTTGCCGCCCCTGCAACTCCACCGGTCGCCGCCCACAGACAACCTCCAAACAAAACGCTCCGAAAGCAAAAATGTCGGTTGCGGTGGTGGCTTTTCCTTTTCTGGCCAATTCAGGTGCTATGTACCCTAAAGTTCCAGCTAAATGGGTCGTTTTTGCATCGGTTCCATTGTTGTTGCCGAATCTCGCGAGCCCAAAATCGCCTAATTTTCCGTTCAAATCGGCGTCTAGTAACACATTGCTTGCTTTGATATCCCGATGGATTATAACTTCACACCATTCTTCATGCAAATAAGCTAAAGCTTCGGCTACATCGATAATGATTTTAACCCTTTGTTTCCATGTTAAAGTGAATTCGGGATTCGAACTGAATATGAAGTTATCTAAACTAGTATTCGGCATATAATCATATACAAGAAACAATTCGCCTTTTCGTCGACAATACCCAAGAAGTCTTACCAAATTTGGGTGTCGCAACCGCCCTATGGTGGCTATCTCCGCCACAAATTCCTTCATTCCTTGGCCGGATTCATGCCAGATCTTCTTCACGGCGACCTGAGCTCCTATGTCCGGCAAAGTCCCTTTGTAGACCTGACCAAAACCACCTTTTCCGAGGAGCTCACTTTCTTTAAACCCTTTTGTGGCGGTGTAAAGATCTTTGTAGGAAAACCTGTGAGGTCCGTACTGAACCTCCCAACTTTCAAGAACTTCTGCGAATTTACGTTTTCTTCTTCGGAACAAAACGAACGCCACAAGTGAAATTAATGAAAGAACCAGTAATCCACCTAAAGATAACCCAATTGCTAAACCCATTGTCTTCTTTTTAGTTGATTTTTTCTTGAGAGATAAGCGTGGGACCTTCGATATATCGATTTCTTGAGCTTCGCCGTTCATCTGAAAACTCCAACCGACGACGTAAAACCTCTGAAGAAGAACCCCAGTCGCTGAAGTGAATCCAACGTACATTTCTTCGAGTAAAAAAGGAGATAGATCTTTCTTCCAAGATACGAGAGGTTTTTCAGGTTTTTTGAGGGGAAGAGGAGCTAGTGTGACGTCTATGGTTTTCTTGACACCATCGTAATCGATCCAAGCTCGTATTTCTCGCGAACTAGCAAGAGTTAAGTTTTGAAAAACTCCATTTTCGTAATACCCTGCTGTTGCAGCTAAAACCGATACTATACTGTTTATATCAAGACCCACATGGTTGCCGTCCATGTCGCCAAGTTCGAGGTTTCTAAAAGTGTCGAGTTCGATGGCGACGACGTGATTTGAGGCGTTTCCGTCGTTTGTCCGGTTAAAGAGTCCGAGATGCTGCGAAGACGATGCATCAATCACTTCTTTCGACGGAGCAATCGCAAAAGTCATGCCGTGGAACGTGAAAAGAGGATTTTCCGGTATGATTCCAAAAACGAAAGAGGTGGAGAACGAGAAAGCGTCGCCGGTAGTCGAGTTTTTGAACCGGAAAGGGCGAGAGTAGAAGGTGTGACCGACACCGAACATCTCGGTGTCGTTGGTGTGAACCACTCGGCCATCTGACTGGATCTCTCGTACACCATCAAGCTGTGAATCGTCGAACAGGAAGGAGAAACCATCGTCGGCGGCAGAAATAGTGGTTCCTGCTGCTCCGGCGAGGAGAAGCAGCAGTAGAAGAACACGGGGTTGGATCAATATCATAGATAAAGCTTCGAAAACGGTTGTGAATAGTTGGGAAAGTTAAAGATTATTGATTGTTAGGTTCTTATGATTTGGATCGGTAGGTGGTTTGGTGAAAGGGATCTCTTCTCTTCGCCGCCGCCGTCGGGATGATCAAAACAAGGGAACTCATTTGGTTTGACCTGTCGATGCTCCAAGCCCTCCAACGCAGCCAATTTGGATTCATTTGATGCAATTTGAAGGGAAAATGTTATCTTTTTGAAATTTAATAAAGTATTAGTAATGGATATTGTTTGGTAACTTTAATGAATTTAACGACACTTTAAAATGCACCCACTAATTGTGGAGTTTGTTTATATCCCAGCATGTTATTTTAATAATGTATCGATAGATTTGAGGTTCGTTGATTGATTGTAGGTCCCCTGCTATCACTAAAAGTTATAAGTGAAAAAGAACTGAAACCCATTTATAAAAGAAATTAAATATTTTTCTATTTTTTGTTTTATTATCATTCAATTTAATTTAAATTTAATTGATATTTTAAATTTATATATTTGTAATCATTTTAAATAGATAAGAATAAATTAGCTACATTTAATAGATAAGAATAAATTAGAAACAAAATGTAGGAACATATTTAATTTTTTCATTTATAATTATGAAATATCAAAATTAGATTAAGAATTAAATCAAGAATGCTATTTGGACTTCTGCTAGTTAAAAAGCATCGGGCGATGGGTTCATGTTTAAATTTTGTAAAGGATTTTTGGGATGTATTGCAAGGTCTTATTAAAGCTCTTAAACATTTTGAGTCCACCGGTAATACTTTGAGAGGCTGCAACGCGTCTCTCATTTCTTTAATCTACAAGCCAAATCAAGAATGCTATATATGATCTTTTTCCATCCATGTGGTTAGCTGAAAATTGAAATTTTGTTCCAAAAAGGTTTGGACTAGCACCAGAAGTCCAAACCTTTTATTTTGTTGTGACTTTAGTCCATTTTGGTTTTAACTTTTTTATAATGACGAATTTATCCCTCATACTTTTTTATTTCTTTTATATTGCAATAATTAAAAAAAACAAAAAACAATTATTTTTGAAATAACCACCGCAGAACAAAATTCTTAGAATAATCTATCTCTTTCTCTTTCTATTCTCTCTCTCTCTCTCTCACACACACACTCTCTCTCTCTATCTCTCCCTCTCTCAAATCCATCGATTTTTCCACATAAAGCCTAGTCTTGACTTGAAATAACCATCGGAGAACAAATAACGGCCACCGGAGAAGACGAACAGAGAAAGAAAGACAGTGGTGACTCCAGCGAGGCGGCGACTCTGACGTCTGGTACGAGAATGACTTCAACGACTCCGGTATATGGAAACTGATATCGTTGATGTGTCTGCCCAGATCTAGCGGTTCCTAGCATCACCTTCATCTTCCCTACTAAGAAACCCTCGACCACAAGTGTTGTAACTGCTGTCATGAAACCCTAACGCAAATGTGAAAACCCTCAAAGGAAAATCTGTCTCTCTCTCTCTCTCCTGTTCTATCTTCCTCAGAAAACCCTACATCTTTCAGATCTTGGTTCTTCTCCATCGGTTATTCTCTGGGTGACGAAGGCTTTTAAATCGGATGGTTTTCGACATCGAAGGGTTTTCAAAGAGGTTCAACAACGGTGGTGGTGTTGGCTAGTGGTGGTGGTGACGATTTCGTCGAAGGGTTTCTAGATCGACGACTCTGACGAAGGGTCTTAGTGATCTTAAACGACCGGAGAAAGAGGGTGATAACTTCGGTGACGATGGGGGGCTAAAGATGAGTGTGTTTTCAGATCGGAGGGTTTTTTTAGTCTTTGCCGGAAAATCGAGTGTGTTTTTGTCTCTACCGGAAAATTGATGGTTATGGTGGTGTTGAACTGTAGTGGTTGTGATTTTGACATGTGCTGGTGGTATAAATAGGCGGTGGTGGTGACATTTAAAGAAGGCAGCAAAATGGGTGGCATCGGAGAAGTCCTCGCTGGTGCGGGAAAAACGAGGGTTTGAGTGTGTTTAAAGTAGAGGGGGGGGGAGGAAGATAACACAACACGATTTTTTTTGCTTATTGTAATAAAAATAAAATAAAATTTGAATATACAAAGGGCAAACTCGTCATTTCAAAAAAAGTCAAAACAAAACGGACAAAACTTGCAACAAAATGAAAGTTTTGGACCACTGGTGCTAGTCCAAACATTTTTTGACCAAAGTGGCAATTTTCAGCTAACCACAGGGACCATTTGTACAGTTTAGTCTTTTCCGTTTTACAAGATCGTAATCGTAAGATCGAATCGGATCGTAAGATCCTACAAAAACATTTTAACACATAAAAAATATATATTCACCCATCAGTTAATCATGTTAAAAAAAATACTGTAAAACATAAAAAATACATTTATAATACATTATTTAACGATAAACAATTCAAAAGGGTATTCAAGAGAGAGAAAGAGAGAGAGAGAGATTCTTTTGAGAACCAAAAAAATTGTGACAACTAGTGGTGGTGGTGACGATTTCGTCGAAGGGTTTCTAGATCGACGACTCTGACGAAGGGTCTTAGTGATCTTAAACGACCGGAGAAAGAGGGTGATAACTTCGGTGACGATGGGGGGCTAAAGATGAGTGTGTTTTCAGATCGGAGGGTTTTTTTAGTCTTTGCCGGAAAATCGAGTGTGTTTTTGTCTCTACCGGAAAATTGATGGTTATGGTGGTGTTGAACTGTAGTGGTTGTGATTTTGACATGTGCTGGTGGTATAAATAGGCGGTGGTGGTGACATTTAAAGAAGGCAGCAAAATGGGTGGCATCGGAGAAGTCCTCGCTGGTGCGGGAAAAACGAGGGTTTGAGTGTGTTTAAAGTAGAGGGGGGGGAGGAAGATAACACAACACGATTTTTTTTGCTTATTGTAATAAAAATAAAATAAAATTTGAATATACAAAGGGCAAACTCGTCATTTCAAAAAAAGTCAAAACAAAACGGACAAAACTTGCAACAAAATGAAAGTTTTGGACCACTGGTGCTAGTCCAAACATTTTTGGACCAAAGTGGCAATTTTCAGCTAACCACAGGGACCATTTGTACAGTTTAGTCTTTTCCGTTTTAAAAGATCGTAATCGTAAGATCGAATCGGATCGTAAGATCCTACAAAAACATTTTAACACATAAAAAATATATATTCACCCATCAGTTAATCATGTTAAAAAAATACTGTAAAACATAAAAAATACATTTATAATACATTATTTAACGATAAACAATTCAAAAGGGTATTCAAGAGAGAGAAAGAGAGAGAGAGAGATTCTTTTGAGAACCAAAAAAATTGTGACAACTTGCGAACTCATAATCAACTCATCATTTTTCAACACCAAAAACACCAATCTTCTCCAAATTGTGCGTGTAATACATATGTAGGCTCAAAAAAAAGTTAACGATTTTTTTTTTTGGTTTTTTTTTGTATGAATGCTGATGAGCACAATCAACAGTCATATGGACTGTTGATTGCTCATCAGCAGTCCATATGGCTGCTGATTGTGCACATCTGCAGTCCATATGACTGTTGATTGTGCTCATCAGCAGTCCATACAACTGCTGATTGTGCATACATGCAAATTTTGAAAATAAATAAAAAAAATTATCAAATCTTTTTTTTTAGCCTAGATATTGCTTATACGCACTATTTGAAGAAGAGTGATGTTTTTGGTGTTGAAAAATGATGAGTTGATTATGAGTTCGCAAGTTCACGTGTTTTTTTTAGTTCTCACAATAACTCAGATATATATATATATATATATATATATATATATATATATATATATATATATATATATGTGTGTGTGTGTGTGTGTTATAGTGTGGATGAACAACTATGGTTCGGAAGTGTGGAAAATGGTATTCTATGAGAATTACTAAGAGAATAAGTTGTTTAGTAATGTGAATACGTTCAACCTCACACAACTATTATCATTTCCATGTATTCTCACTAATTCTTATTCATTTTTGTTCTCACGCATCGTTTTTCAATCATTTTCATTATAACAGAATACGACTCAATAAATATTCTGATAATATTCTGACAGAATGAGAACAATAAAAAAAGTCTATAATAACCTTATAGACGATTTAACTAGTGAGAATGCGTGATAATGACAATAGTTATGTAAGATTGAACGTATTCACATTATCAAACAACATATTTTCTTTGTTATTCTCACAAAATAGCATTGTCCACTCGTCCGCACAATAGATGTCAATCCACATGTAAACCTAGCTCTCTCTCTCTCTCTCTATATATATATATATATATATATATATATATATATATATATATATATATTAACGATCCTACGATCTTAAGATCGATCCTACTGCGATCCTACCAAAAAACGACCCAAGTAAGATCGGGATCAATTACATAGGTGGGATCATACGATCCTACGATCTGGATCGTGATTTTAACAAACATGGTTTCATCAAAGTAGTCTCACAACTTCTATCGATTTATCTTTATTGGAACCGGCGGAGTTAATATATGTTGGCATACACGGGAACGTTAGATTCGGGTCCGCAAAGCGAGCAGCCCGGAATCGCCTCCTTTTCCGCCCCCTATTTTCACCGCTTTGGTCTGAGCAAGGCTCGAACCCACCACCTCCCAGGAGAAAACCCCCTAAGGGGAAAAACCTGGATGCATCTTACCAACTGAGCTGGTATCTTAAAAAGTGATAACATGTGTAGTTATTCAAGAACAAATGACTTATGTAGAATAATGAAATACTCCCTCCGTCCCAATATTTTTGTCCACACACAAAAAACACACATATTAAGAAAAGCATTAATTACCACTAACTTTATATAATAAAATGACAGTTTTGTCCTTACTTTGCATTTAATGTTCCATTAAATGCTTAGTTGGTTAAGTAATGATGAGGGGGTATTTTGGTAAAAATGTTATTTATTTTTAGAAGTGGACTATTATTTTGGGACAAACCAAAAAGGAAAGATGGACTATAATTTTGGGACGGAGGGAGTAGTATTTTAGACAGTTCATAATAAATGAAATATGTTCTTGGGCCAGACAAAATCAAAGAAAAGAATGATGATTTTTAAAGTTGATCTAAATAAGACTTTTGATTCATTGTCATGAGATTGTTTATGGTTCTGTATTGCTTCAAATGGACTGTGGGTCTAAATAGAGGTTTAGGGTTAGTGGTATTCTAAAATTTGGGCGTGCATTTCTCGTTAGAAGATCGGACATAGTGTAGCGAGAAAGAAACGAAAGGAAGGGAACTGCATACAGGAACACTACACAATGGGTGCGGGGTAAGGTGAAAGGTAGGAGAGTGTGGTACCCCTCCCCGATGGATACACAACTTCTTTCGATGTTCGTGTCGGACTAGATTTAAATGATGACGACGAGCTCGAGTTAGAAGAAATTGACCAACTGATGGGTAGGGACAAAGCAAAAAGGAAAGGGAAGGGTCTTCTTTCAATGCATTAGATATTAGCAGTGAAGTAGACGAAATGTGCAAAATGACAGAGACATTTGATCGATACAATCTGGATTTTGTTGAACGTTTGACATTCGACAAAGAAAAAGTTGCCCATAAAAAAGGAGCGTGAGTTTTGAAGATAGGCCCTCGAGCTATGGTTTTGAAGACGAGTGAGAAAATCATGAAAAAATATTTCTCATAGATTGTTTCGTTTTATTTTTAAAATATTGGTTGTTTTTTTTTAATCTTGGTTGTTTTTATGTACTTTTTATTTTAAGTAATGAAGTATTTATATTTTAATTAATTTTGGTGGTTATTAATCATTTTTAATTAGATCTATTTATTTTGTGAATTATAAACTTAAAATTAAATTATTTTTATTTTTAAAAATTAAAAGTGGAAGGTGGTCATTTTGAGACTTTTGGTGAATGAAATGTGAGTGAGTGAAAAGTTGGCGTGACACAGAAAAAATGAATCGTGAGGTGTGACTACATCCTCCTGTCTAAATGAGTCTCTTATAAAAGAATTTGACATGTCAAAAAGGAGTTAGACAACGAGATTTATTATCTTTTTTTCTTTTCCATTATTGCAATGGAAGACTTATACATGATCATGAATTCGGTGTTGGAAAAACATTTAGTTTTTGGCATCAATTTTCCAAATAATGGTCCCGTTATTTCTTACCTCATGTGTGCGGCAACATGATGTTGTCAGCGAAAGGCCCGTTAAAAGTTTCATCAATCTCAAAAGAATCATCTTTTTCTTCCGTCTTGTCTCTCCTCAAGATTAAAGGTAATCTTTATAAAAGCAACGGTTTTGAGATTAACAAATTTGGTTTGGCTCGTATCATCGATATATGTGACAACTGTAAAATTTTAGAACAAACGAGGCCTAAACTTTAACCATGTACAAGTGAATTTGCAATCGTAACTTTAACTCAATATAACTTGGAATGCCAAGAGGACATGT